CTTTGCCTTCTTTTAGATTCTTTTATCCATTCTAGAATTTCCCCATTTATTCAATGTACTTTAAATTTCTTTACCAGTCTTTCCAATTGTACCTTATCAAAAACTTTAGAAAAGTCTGAGCCTGTTTGCTGGAAGTCCTTTATCTGAATAACTGGTAACAGTTTCCAAGAAACGTGACCCGGTTAATAAGGCGGAACTTGTTTTTAATAATATCATGTGGTGTTGATTATTCGTGCACTGTCAATGATTTACTTGATTCCTTCCCATGAGCTTGCAGATATAAGGTTATGCAGATGGGTCCGTAGTTTTTTTGCTGAGCTCTTACTAACGTTTTTCTTTTCTTTTTTTATGGGCGTGACATATGCAGATTTTCAATGTAGGACGTTTCCTTGGTCCAGAGAATTTTTGAATGGAAATTTCAGTGGTAGACAGTTTCTCAGCCAGCTCCTTTGCAATTTTAGCTTTCTTTAATTTGTGTTTCTGATTAACTCCATCCAGGACGTAATTTAATTGCAATTCCTCTCTAAAGTTTAAGTATGTGTATTGAGACAAGAAAATACATCTCAAAGGGATAGAGTAGCTTAGGCTATTTCTACCCTCCTAAGATTCCTCTCTCATTCTGTGTCCTCGAAGGCAGGATAGAAAGTCATAGTCCTAGGCATTTATATGGATTTCTATATGACAAAGTGCTTCCTAACTCCTTGGAATTTACTGTACAGCAAATATTCATAGTGCCAGTGAGAGGTGAACAACCTCGCGTAGTAGTCCACTTGATACACTCCTGTAGTAACTTGAATAAATATTTGAATTTGAATTAGAACCCGCCCTTACAGACCGTTTTTCTTACACATTTCCCCCTTACAGAACCTCCCCCCCCCCCTCTCAATCCCTCCCTACCAATGGCCCTTCCCACCTCTGTTTGTTAACAACACTTGCCCTTCAACACAAAAACAGAATAATCTACTTTGATCATTTAAACCTCACAAACGCGATCGTGTTCCATTAATCTCCAAATGCTCGCGGCATTTTGCAAAACACGCTCGGGAATTTTACTTCCCTTGAATTCATGCTTCACCAAAGGATTAACATTAGCCAAAGTAATTAAGAATATTCACGCTTTTAATTACTCTTACTTCGTTTTCAGTGACTGTGGCATACGCCTCATTGAGGAATTTGCAGCAATTTTTTTTTAAAGAAAATATTTAACACGGTAAGTTATGACTTACGTTTTCTGTAAATAATTTAGAGAAAACGTAACATGTCGAATGGTGTACTATATTATTTATCAATTTGAAAGAGAATTATACTGTAGTCAATTAAGATTGCGTTTGTAGAGGGTTGAGCTTCAGCTCTTCGATTCTGTCCCTAGCGTACAAATTCCGGAGCATCTTGTGCATAATCATAGGCTGTATTTCAATCCACATAAGCTAGGGAGTTTGCTGCCTTCAATTCACTTCTTAGAACACTCGATTTGTTCACCATTCCTACACTGAAATAATTCTTTCTGTAGGCCAGTTAGTTTCCACCTGTGTCCCCTCATTTGTGTACCTCCCTTTTCGAAATAAGTCTCTGTACTCGTCTAATTGTACTCACGCTATGTGTGATAGTGGTTGTGCAAGAATATAACTCAACCATCATGTATGTACTGTCACGACCCGATGTACTTTTTTTTTTTTTTTTTTTTTTTTTTTTTTTTTTTTTTTTTTTTATATAAATAAATTAGGCTTGCTGGGGGGGGCGTTGTTGAGCTTCGGCTCTTTCGTCCCGCCTCTAGACTGTCAATCAACTGAGTAACAATAACGTGGCTGAAAATATATAGCCCAACCCACACATGAAAGGCAAGAGAGGACGTTCTGGGACATGTCAAAAAGGATGGTTTGGCCATATTGGCTCTTGGCTCTTCTTTCTCCCACCCCTGGCACATCTCACACCCCACACCCACACATGAAGGGGGGGGGGGAAACCTTTCATATAAACTAGCACTGGAGAAATATTTGTCTAAAGTTGGGATTCAAAAAATGGGAATAATGTACAGTAATATAATTCAAGACATACCAATGGTAGGCTAACCTATGTACAATATAGCAAGAGATGTTTATAAAATAACACCATATTCATGGCAGTAGATGTAAAAATGTGTAGGTGGCTGTGTGTATATACAGTATAGGCTTATATTGCAGGAGTTCAACTTTCCCTATTCAGCCAAACAATGTCACTGATTTATAAGGAAAATTTACAAGTATAACCATGTATATTGTGGTTGAAATTATATCCTCCTACCATTCAGTACTATTTGGCAACATTTCCATACAGTACTGCAATAACCTGGTATCCACATATTGAGGGGCTGGTCCCAAACCTGCACACAGAAATAACATCACATGAGCCCAGAAGACATGGCAGGATGTGCAGAATACCCCCGTTGAAAAGCAGAGGTGCAACAGGTACTCTGAGAGAGAACTATCAACATCAGAGGCCTGAGACTGTTCAACACGCTTCCACTACACATAAGGGGCATAACTGGCCGACCCCTCACAGTGTTCAAGAGAGAACTGGATAAGCACCTCCAAAGGATACCTGATCAACCAGGCTGTGACTCATACGTCAGGCTGCGAGCAGCCACGTCTAACAGCCTGGTTGATCAGTCCAGCAACCAGGAGGCCTGGTCGATGACCGGGCCGCGGGGACACTAAGCCCCGGAAGCACCTCAAGGTAACCTCAAGGTATCCAGCCATAAGAAAAGTTGAATATCATACTGGCATCAGCCACCTTAACCCACGGAACATAAAGGTCCTTTATAAATATGAAAGATTGCATGGTGTGTTGGTGTGCAGTGAAGTTTTTAAATTATTTGTGGTGTTTGATGCCAGAACTCAGATTATTTATTATCTAACCCATATGCTAATGAATATTTCTAGGCATCTACCCAAGTCATTATACAATTAAAGAATTGAAAATCTGCCAGAAGTGTAAAATGAAATAAATATTTGCTAGTATTTTCTAATACATATTTTTTTTAGTTTAAATGATAGAGTTGAAGTACTGTACTGTACATGGTACGGTATTTTACATAACCTCTGGTAGAGTTGTCAGCACAGTTGGCTTGTAACCAGAAGACCTGACATTTTGGGCAAATTTCCATACACTTTATGCGATGTTTCTTTTCAACTGGGAATTGGGAAACTGTTTTGGGTTAAATTTCTGGGAAAATCATTCATTGGTTTAGGCTTATTGCGGTCCCCCCCCCCCCCCCTAACAGGCTTTGTCACCGACAATGGGAAATCACAACACCTATTAATGAGGTTATTTGTGAAATTATTAAAGTGTTTAATTTTGTATGTATTATTCTTAATCAGTGTACAGTATAGACAAGTAACGCCTGTGAGATTTTATTTAAAATAAGAAAATATTAACAATTATTTTATAAATTTCTTAAATTTCACTAGATGTACATATTTATACCTGTATGCTGCTTAAAAATAATGGGTTAAAAAGATGCTAATTTCAATAATTAAATCTATTAATTACTGCAAACAAAGCCAGTTCCTATTATAACCATAATTAATGATATATAATACCAGCCCCTTATGACAATAAATAGGAACAAAGCATATTATATAACAGTATGGATAAAGAGGTAAGAGTATGGTAGTACTCTTACCACTTTATCCATACTGTCAAGTGACAGTATGGATAAAGTGGTAAGAGCGTGTGAATAAAGGTCTGAATAAAATGTGTGATAAAGCCGCGAGCGCTGACAGCAGTGAGGTGCCAGTGTTTATCTTTGTGGTGTATACTTGGAGTGGCGCTGGAGAATTCATTTCAATGATGTTTTTGCATTTATTGGCTTGCATTTATTGGCAAAATTTACAAACTTTCGTGTAGTTTGATGGTTACGAATTCAAATAACTTATCAGTAATTTGTCATATATTCCCCCCTACAAACACAATATGTACCAGTACGAAAATGTGTTCAGTGATAACTTTCAAGAAAGTGATGAGCTAAAAATGAAGGTTGAGAGTGGCATCTCAAGAAGTGGTGCCTGCACCGAGTGCCAAGTGAGAAAGATTACACTTTCAGAAGCCCAGACTTTTAAAAACATGACTGATAGCAAAATTATATACAGTATTTATTTACAATGAGCAGGAGGTGGAAGAAAACCAGGATGAAGATGGAGTGCAAGAAGAAAATGAAAGCATGAAGAAAATTTATAAACATTTTGAAGCCCTTATTAATGTTCATGGAGTTAGGTCACAGTGATTTGGGCACTTGGAAGATGATGAGCCTGTGCAATATGTACATGCAGTTTTTAAAGACAAAAACAGATTATGAAGCAAATTTCAATTGAATGCTCTTTGGCAAGGGCTTCCATGAAAGTTTGCATTAGACCTATAATCTGTACCTAGTTCATCACATGACCCAAGCACCTCAACATTTGAGGCTATGTTATTACCTTCAATCTCCACATCACAACTATAATCTAAATTATACAAAATTAATAATATTCTTCAACTTTAGAAGCCACTCAGAACTTCATACTAGTGAGTACAAAATTGTCAATTTTTTTTCCCTAAAATTGTAATTTTTTTTCAGGATGACAAACCCCTTTTCTTGATAGCGACTATGTGTCCCAAGATATCCAAAAAGCACATGGTTGTCTATATATATATTTTTATATAATTCATTTTGACCCATAAGAGCTTGAACCACGGCCGCCAGGGTGCAAGCCCAGTACAGTACTACAATATACCCACTCTAATAGTTATGTCATCATTGGTACTTTACTGGGCTTCCACCCTAGTTGCCTAGGCTCAGGTAATTTAGAATTAATAAGTAAACTGTTATACAAATGTCACTTGGGAAATATTCAAGCTTCCATATATATCTATACTGTATATGTAAATATAACCACAATGAAATAGAAAAATAGGAAAATGTACTCGCAGCATTAATCTTACAAAGCCTTTTACAAATAACATTCATCTGATAATTTACTTACCTTTAATTCCTCCATTTCTTGTTTTTCTTTCTCCAGTTTCTTCTGCCTCTTCTTTTCCTTCCATTCTTCCTTTTGTTCATTCCAAAGTGCTTTCTTTTTCTCTCTTTTTAACTGATTTTTAGATTTCTTTGGAACTTCATCTGATTTATCTGGTTCAGGTATAAAATTATCACTGGACACTTTACACTCTGGTTTACCCTCGCTGTCTTTCAGTTCATTATTGACATCACCTTCATCCTTTACTTCAGTTGAAATATTATCCTCAGCTTCGACACTTAAACAAACCTCACCAGATGCTGTTTTTTTACTGATCACTTTTTGGGTTTCATGATCATCCTCTGAAGGTATGCTGTCTGCCTCAAGATTACTTGGGACACTTGGCTGCTTCTCACTGGTTAAGACGGAGCTTCCCACACCTTGTTCTGAATTAGACATGTTATAAACAAGTCTAACCGGTGATTTGTAAACTTTAAAGCTAAATAAGTCTCGGGTGTGTGAAAGACAAGTGTGTCGTTCTTTCCAAACTGAAACACGAGCACAGTTTAAGCTGGAAGGTCCCAGGATATCAGAGGTGATGAAAACACTAAAATATTGTCTCACTTGGGGATACTGATGACAGTTCTTAGATAGCGGCCAAAAGCTATAATTAAACCGGTTGAGCAAATTGCTACTGATGCGTAGTGACGTGAAGGCACGGGTAACAGACCTTATAAGAAATGAGAAAAGAGGCATATGGTGTAGGCCTCTAGACCTCTGCGGCATGCAAATCTGGCTCCTGGGCCCGGCACACGCTTGGCTTGGTCGGGGACCCTCGCTGCTCGCGCCTCCACAACTCTCCCGCCAAAATAATCCACAAAATGAATTGTTTGAATATATTCCAAGCCCCAACAACTGTCTCAATAATAAGTTTTAGTCTAGTTTAAAACCGAGATACGGAAATAGAGTTCAAACAGTTGATTCAACCTATTGATTACACCGATGTAAACAAACGCATGTGGTCGTTAGGTGTTTGAATATAATATTTGAGAATAAACGGAAAATTAATAGTGAATATTTTTCCATATATTTGAAGCTTGCTTATTTTTCAGAGTCTTTGTTAATTATAAGAAACTAAAATAATAGATCAGTATAAGGATATTTTCCAAATTAGGTAGATAATAATTGAGCGGGAACTTTGAAAGGCGAGCACGTGTTGCAAAGACGTGCACCGTAAACTAACCGACGTTGGCGGTAAAAATTAAGTCTCTACTCGTCAGTCTGTAATCAATTCAATATGGAGATACTCATTTATTCTGTTATATATAACATGTTTTTGTAATTACTACATTAAGTTTCCGAATTAATTTGAGAGATTGTTACTGCAACTTCAGGTACACTTTATTTAGATAAGTACCGTAATTATCAGTGCCAAGCCAGACTATATAATATGGTTTCCCTTCGTCTGAACATGAAGCCAGTTAGGTTTATCGAAGATCCCCTTAGACCAACTATTAACATTCCCCAGAGTGCAAATACATCACAACAGTTGCCTAGCTCCCACGTACCTATTTAATGCTAGGTGAACATAATTATTAGGTAAACAGAAACATGCCCAAATGCTATGAGACTCGAACTCGGGACCTTCTGGCAGTGACCTAGCTGCACCGACCACTGTGCTACAACACCTTCAATCAAGTTGCATATTTTACCAATTTTGTCAGGAACAAAAGCCTACAGTGCTAAAAGTGCCCAAGAGGTCAAGACCCTACTTGTGGCATTAGTTTGAAATAGGCCTAAATAGCAAGAGTTATTACCTGAAGGACCATTGTGTGATTTTATGTAACATTTATCATACATGGACATGAACTTGAACATACATTTATCTAGATGTAACTAGAGAAATATACTGTATAGGTAATACTTGAAAGATACTACTCAAGGTGTAATATGAGGTGACATCCCTCTCTAATACAACTTTAACATAGAGAAACTTAAGATACAGCTGCTATTGCAACATCATCTATTTAAAGCAATTTGGTATATCTTTAGTTTCAAAAAAGTTATTTAAAGCGGTACTAGAACTACTGACTCCATAATGTAATAGTTTATGCCTGTCTTTACGTATCTCCTTTTTTTGTATTCATGTTATTATCCTTGAACGTTCTCAATTTGTTAGCTTACTTCTCTCTTAATATTAAGTATTTTACCCCTCACACCTTTAATTTTTTTCTATATTTAAGTTTTGCCTGAAACGCTTTGCATAATAGTGACTTCATTAGTATGTGTAATTCCTGTCCCTACATTTGTACATTACTCTTATGTTCTGTGTACACACATTCTTTTGAATAAAAATTATTATAATTATTATTATTATTTTGTTTGGTAAATCTGGAATGATCACTAGCCACTACACTACAGGTCAGGTAACATGAAAATCAGAAAGACCTCTGCATCATTCAGTTTTGTGTTAAAAGATAAACTGTCCCTGTATCAAGTTACGTTGAACCAGAAAATTTCTTCAAAAGGTCAGATGTAACGCAAACAAGGAGCAATGGTTTCAAGCTCAACAAACCACAATGTAGGATTGAGAACAGATGTTTTTTTTTCACCCACAAGGGTATTGACCCCTGGAACCGCCTACCTGCTGAGGCTGTAAATGCCAAATCCCTGTTAACTTTTGACGAGACAAATATGGACTGGCATGTTTCCTTTCATCTAATACCTTTGTTCACCTGTTCACAGGTAGTCAGGCACATCACAATCAGGGTATTTACCTAGCAACAATAATTATTCGCTTTATTTTCCTATGGGTACCAAAATTTTCCTCAAGCAGTCACTTGTTTTGTTAAGCAAATTCTTTCTGGTAGGTTTCTTCAACTTTGTGGTTAATATCTGATATCCCACATCCCTCGCCTCAGAGCCAGATTCTGGTTGTTGCGCCCAGTAGGTGACAGATACATACAGAAATCACAATAGCGTGATATATCAAATGAATAAATCTACAATCCACAATCTTTGACCATTTCGTGGCTCAGTCGATTAAGGATCATCCTGGACGTAAGTTCGAACCCTCATCACAGCCCTTGTGGAATTATTCAGGTGACAGATGTCTCTCAAGAGGCCTGATGTGTATCAAGGCCTGTCAAGGCTTGATGATACCAAAGGAAAGCTCAAGGAGCTCCCGAGTTGTTCTTCCTAGAAATTATGTGGGAATAGTTTCCACCCCTTTTTTTTACAAATTAGAATAATAGTTATTACTTCAGTGTCTATGGATATACTGACAATCATTCAAAGTTTACTGAAGAAGGTTTACATGAAAACTACAAGAAAATTCTATCATATATTTCTCAGTTAAATATGTTAAAACGCCCGAGGTGCTCCCTAACACATTGAAGTATCTTCTGTCAGCCCGTGTTAGAGACTTGTCCATCATGTAGATAAGGTGCTGATGAAAACATGTGAATTGTGTTCCAGTCTCCAGAGCAACGTTCACCCAATCTTTGACACATTCAAGTGGCGTAGTTGTATAACCTGCATACATAGCGGGGTTTTCTAGCATTCCTCGTGCTGCCATTACACCTAAAAAAGAAAAATACAAAGATTAAATTTCATGCTTTTTTTTTTTAATACAGTACTGTATTAAGATTTTTAAATTGGATCATTTAGGGAATGATCCCAATCTAAATCACCCAGAGATACAAATGTCAAAATAATGAACAAAAATATAAATGTTTTGTAGTGCAACTAACTTGATTCATATTTCCATATACTGAATTTATATTGTTGTGGCAGCATTTTCATAAAATAAACAAAATAGAATGATAGCAAAAAATTTCAACTGACCATCACAGATTTAACTTCTATCTTAATCAAATTCTGTACAATAACCTGATTAGTGGGCAAGTTCACAGTGCTGGGATGGGTCCACTCAGTTACTATATGTAGGGTGCCAGATGAAATAAATTATGAGCATCTACTGGAGGCCAGAATCAGAATCTAGCCCCATCAAAAGATGTATATGGGAGTGGAGATAGTAGGTTAACCACAATACTGAAGGGAAAAATCACCAGATAGCATAAAAACAAGCAATGACTTAGACAATATTTACAACCCCTGATTTAAACTATGTAAGCACTCATTGTCCTGGACCAGCAATTAGTTAGGCTCAACACCCTCACCACCAGATGGCACCCTACCAACTTAAGGGTCCCTGTTCTAGCTACCTCAGTCATCCATGCACTGCTCAAGCAACACTTCCTGAGTATCATGGGAAGAAGAGAAAGGAAGAAGAGAAATGGAGAGATACAGAGGGGGACCACCAGAAAGAGGTTTAATTACATTTAATGCTTAATTTCTGGGAGTGCTCACCTCTGTATTCCTCCCCAAGCTATCTCACCACGGTGAGGAAAACATTAAAAGAGCAGACCAGGGCAGGAGGAGAGCACAAGAGAATACGAAAAAATTGAATTACCACCCATATACAATTCTTATTCTGGCTTATTCCCAAAAAGCCAGAAAGTCTGGCATGAGAACACAGGAAGCACCAGACGGAACAGGAAGGCGAATGCAACCATCCAGCAAGAAAGCTTGCCCCCAAAATAAGAAACCAAGGACTGTACCGTAGCACACCAGGTGCGTGACTGACTGAAGCAGCTGCCTCAGACCCTTGCATTTCTGAGGCTGTAATCTTGTGGCAGGGTTGAGTTAATCAACAGCTAGTCCTGGACAACAAGTGTGTACACAGTTCAAATCGTGTGTACACATAGTTCAAATCAAGGTTGAAAATTTTGAACAAGCAGGTGCTCGTTTTGATACTTTCTACCTTCATGGTGGTCGTTTGCTTTGGTAATGTGGTTGATCTAGTATCCCCTCTTCCTTATGCCTCTACTGAGGGGGGACCAGAGTCTGATCCTGGCCTCCAGTAGGCACTCAAATACCACACCAGGTTCTACTGATCATGAGTTTGTAAGACTCCAGCTTGGTAGCTTTGAGAGCTACAGAGGCCAGTTCTTCCAGAAAAAAAATCCTAATTTTAGCAGGGAAATACACTATACTCCTTGAACATGCAGTTTTATCAATAGTGCTTATGAGAAAATCAATCAAAATAGTGCTTATAATATTTTATATTATTTTTAGATTTAGATTTGTATATATTTTATATTATTTTTGTAATCATTGCATTTTTTAATGTAAATATGTTACAGGTATAAAGAAAAGTTGCTATGTGTCATTTAGTAACCAGACAGCAAATGCCAGTGATCTGAATTTCTGTCTGAATTAAGTGAACTAAAACTTACTATTTTTTCCGAATTGTACAGAAATCTGAGTTATTGAGGTCCACATTAGAGACTGCTTACTCCATTTACTTCAGGTTTTTCAGATACTTCAATCTCCAAATACAGTATTAAGAATGTCGACCAAATCACACACTAGAAAATGAAGGGACAACAACATGTCGGTCGTCGTCCCTTCGACTTGAGAATGGTCTAGGACGGACCGAAACGTCGTCATCCCTTCACTTTCTAGTGTGTGGTTTGGTCAACATTTCAGCCACATTATTGTGACTCCTCGTCTGCACACAGTATTAAGAATCATTTGCAGACCTTTGCTTTTACATAGATTTATATTTTTCCTTCTCCAAGGATATGCAATGATGAGTGACAACTATGCTTTTGCATTAACCAATTAAAAAAATAGACAAAATGCTGAAAATCTTTATACCATTAACACCCGTGATCTTCTGTATCCGGTGAGCATCATCCATTGATCGGACATCACCATTAGCAACTACTGGAATCTGGAGCACACTTTTGATATCTGCAATTGCTTCCAAACATACTGGATCTCCGCGTTGGTCTTGTGTACGCCCATGAACAGTGATGAATGAAGCTCCAGCAGCCTCCATTTGTCTGGCAAAGTTTACTGTTTGTCTGAAATTTTTGAGAAACATGCCTGTAGATATATATTATATTTTAATTTGCGTGTGCCGACTTGCAAAGTTTTGAGCATTTTCAGATTGTTTAAAATCCTTTGTCAAAGTCCAAATGACAGAATGGCAAGAGAAGGGGTCGATTTACATTGGAAGCCATGGGAATCGGGAGGAGGAAGAGAGGCCAAACAACAAGAAAGGAGTCGCATCTGGGTACCATAATTTGCACAAGCAAATGTAACTCGGTTGTTAGGAAGCAAGAACTAAGGCATTGGATGTAATGAAATGCCTCTTTCTGGTAGTTCACTTGGTAGCTTCAAAATACTACTGTCTGGAAGCATCCAAGCCTTGAGAAACGAATGCTTTCTGACCTCTGATTCAGGACCACCACCTGGAGACCAGGATTAGAATGTTGGGCCCCACAAAGAGGCAACAGGAAGCCTGGGGATCACAACAGTGCCAAGAAAATTCCACCAGAAAGGAAACAGCACTCTAAGTAAATGCTTGGAACAATTTGTAACCCTGATATCAATGCAAACAATTGTTACTCATATGAAAATAACACTAAGGGCATTCCTGATGCAAATAGGAAAAATTTGGCTCTGTAATGAGATTCTTTCTTATATCCTACATTGTGACCCATTGGAAACAAACTCGTACTTTTTTTTTTTTACCTAAAAATTCTCTTTCTTATGCTCCTATTGGAGGGTAATCCTTAGGACAATTATTCCGAGAGTGTCCCTTGCCATACTGGTAATAGGAGCTCACCAATAGGTGAAATGCAAATAAAACTTGACTCATCACCAGCCAGAGCAGAAAAGATTGTTTCCACCACTTGCACTTAAAACAGGGCTTCTTAGACAAGATTACACAATTCATTATGAACTATCATAGAATTCATTCTCAATTCTTTTATGTTAAACAAGCAATTATTATTATTATGCATAGATACTGAATCCTACACAAGACAATGTATAACAGCTTACTTATAATCCTTGTGTAGTCTGATTTTGATGGATACAGTGAAGTCTGGGTCAGTGACCATGTTGCGAGTCTGACGGATCATGTCTGCCACCAATTCTGGCTTGTGGATGAGGCAGGCTCCATAACCTTCAGCCATTGCCCAGCGCTGTGGACACCCACAGTTTAGGTCAACACCATCACAGTAGCTGTAAAATTATAAAGATAACACTCCCATTATGCTCCTATCACTAAATTAAACACTCAGCCACATTCTCTTGTATATGCAACAGCAACCCAATGGAATGGGCAGATGTGACTAGCAAAATACATAACCACCTCCTCCAGATTGACCATAGACTAAGTGGCAGTTCTACTATAAAGTCAGATACTAAGCACCCCCCCCAGTAGAGATGAATGATTTTTAAGATTTGTCAATGAATTTCAAATGTAATTACAGTGTAGTAGATGTGATATCCAAACCACATATCTTCAGCCACGTTATTGTGACTCATCGTCTGCAGTGTAGTAGACATACAGTAAATGATAACAGAAATTACAGTAAAATATTATAACAATAACAGAGCTGAAGCTAATGTGAAATAAAGGATGCAACTTCCCCAATATGATACTAGATAATAAAAACAAGACTGCATGGGTAGAGGTGTAGCCAGACTGCTACAGTTACAGTGGAGTTTGAGGAAATAAACATCTCAAGAGATAACAAAGCTGTAGGAACATGCTTCTTTATCTTTACTTACAGAAATAGTAAAGCTAAAGAAAAAGGTGGTAGGGGTCTTTTACAACCCATTACCAGAAGGCTCAAGGAGGAATAATACTGGCAAAGAAAACTCCCAGTGTGTCACAGAAAAGCATAAAGCTCTCCCAAGCAGTTACCCATCAACAAAATCAATGCCTTCAGTCAGGTCTTCAAATGACAAAACCATTCAAAAACATAAAACACATTACACAAAAACTCTATTACATTATACAACTGCAAAACATGTGGGCAAAAGTAGATGATGAGTCACAATAACGTGGCTGAAATACGTTGACCAGACAACACACTAGAAAATGAATGGACGACAATGTTTCGGTCCGTCCTGGACCATTCTCAAGTCGATTGTGAGATTGACTTGATACAATCGACTTGAGAATGGTCCAGAATGGATCGAAACGTCGTCATCCCTTCATTTTCTAGTGTGTGGTCTGGTCAATATGTGGGCAAAACTAAATGCCTCAGCCAAGGGCAAATTAAAGATGAGTAAAACCCATCGGCAACACCATCTAACCAGCACAAAGATGGTAACACACAAATATTTACTTAAAAACTGAGGCACCCTGCACATAAAACCAAAGTTTCAGGATTAACAAAGTCACCTTACTTAGACTGATGTCAATATCTGAGTGCAACCTGTCCTCTTAAAAATAACGTCGCTTTTGGCCGTTTTTCCCATATGGCCGAATTTGGACGTAATTTGAAAATGAAAAAAAAAGACAACTTACAACACATGGTTGAAAATTAGACACCCAACCTACAAATCTGAAAATACAAGAATTTACTGTGTTTTGGTCTGTCCTCAACTATTATGCACTATAAATCAATAAAGTTCAGTCACTAGTCAAATAGTACCTGAACTTGTAATTTTTATTTAACAGCACAATCATACAGATGTAAAATACAGCATCGGCAGCAAAAAATAGAAAAAATTAAAAAGATTTATGTGAATTTACCTGAGGGCCACCATCTCTCTAGTGGCCTGGATGGGGACAGGAAGCCAGCAGCTTGTCATAGGTCCCCCTCCCCCCAATTATTCCTGTGATTTTTTCCAACTGGATTTTAAACTGAAATAATGTCTTGGCAATTATGACTTCAGCTTCAACATATAGTCTACACAAGCAACATGCAGGTCAGATGCACTTACGGAGCAACTAATCTTGTTGCACCAGCCCAGTCTTCACCTTTGCTTGCAGCAAACTGCACAATTAATGGTCGGTCCTCTGAAAAAATAAAACAAGCATTAAATTTATTTAAATACTGTAGTCATTTTTGGGTAGCCTTCATTAACTTCCCAGGGCTTAAGACTCCTGTACCACTGAGACATACAATACACTATACCAGGTCTCTGGCCATGCACAGATCAACTGGAGACTAGGATTGGAGTCTGGCAGAAGTCAATGGCCCAGTACCCTACAAAACATGAGTAAGAGGGGAAGAAGAAAAAAAACGCCGTTGACTGTAATGAAACGCTATTTTCTGGGCGAGACCCGGAGGCTCCGCGAAGCATACGGGGCTCCCCCCCCAGAAAATACCATATGTGAAAATGCCAAACACCATGTTAGTCAAGCAAGGCTGAAAGGGCCACATCTAACAGACAACATAACCCAACCAGCAACCTTGGGTAAACTGGAAAAGGATCAGTAGGAGGCCAGTAACATAAGACACCAAAAAGGAGAAATTTCTCTGCTCATTAGAGAAACAAAATCCAGTGAAACCCATCCCAAAACTCATTAAGTAAAGCCTACCACATAGATGCTGCCATTCAAGTACTGTACAGATTACATATGGATCAAAGGGTATAACAAGGGTAATACTGATAGGGTGCTACATATACCAACATAAAACAGAGGATAAAAATTGCTTGAGTAAAGCAGTTCTTTGTTCACCCTCCATAAATTAGTTCATTATCCTGAGGGGTTACAAAAAATATGATTCACCTTTACATGTTGTGAAGTCACTGTGTCTGGCTCGTATTGACTGCAGAAAGCAGTCACTGATGATCATGGGTGTAAAACACAGGTCACATCCATACTTTCTTACAAGAGATCTAAATGCCAATCTGTAGAAGAAAAAACATTTAACTTCAAAATCCCAAAAGCATTCAAATGTTACTTTTATATTCAAATGAACAGAAAATACTTTTAATGTGACAATAATAAGGCATAATTTTAAAACACATTACTGTACAGTGAAAAAAATATGTTTATTAGGGTTGTAAAACTTTAAAATAAAGGACTACATTTATTCCATTTTTGGCTTGAAAACATATCATAAAAATGTGGAGCTCTGCTTCATATTTTTAATAATTTTTATCTAATTTTAAAACCTACACAACTTAAGCTAAACCAGACTGTTTCCCTGTTAACAAGTTACCTGTGTTCCACCAATTACTATCCGTGAAACCACATGCAATTTTAACAATTAGAAAATGAATTTAGTTAAAATTACAAATAAATTTATTTTGGTTGAAAATTTTGGTAAGTAGTTCTTTCTTCACCCTCCATAAATTAGTTTTAAATTGTATTAAATTTAAGTTGGTATTATTTTGTATTTATTTATTTATATATGCAAGAGTTCGTACATTCGTGTAAAGCCACCTATCACGCATAGCATTTCGGGCAGTTTGTGCCCGGATCGTTCGGGTAAATTTATATATATATATACAAGAAGGTACATTGGGATTGAGGTTACATAGCATAGTAATTACAATCTTGTAAAGCCACTAGTACGCGCAGTGTTTCATAAATAAATAATAAATAAATAAATGTTTATTTAGGTAAGGTACATACATACAAGAGATCTTACAAAGATTGATGTATTTATAGATAGAGCTAGTACATACAATGCCTAAAGCCATTGGTAGCCATTGGTACATATGTGTAAATCGTCCCCATCTACGTGCATCTACTAATTCCCTGTGACCACCATTACCTACTTGGAATACCGAACCATGGGAGCACTTATTGTCACTAGTTCCTTGTGCTTGAAGAGCTCCAGGGGCTTCATGTACTGCGAGGCGGCTCCTTCGCCTTCACCCATGACCACTGAGACCAAACGTTGTCCCAAGTTGGGACTCCCAAGATCCCAACTTGGGACAACTCGGAAATAATCATAACACGCAGTACTGACTTAAACATAATAATAACACTGTTGAAATAACCGATCTTTTATCAATATTTTGCTGGATATTTAAATGCTATTGTATTTTTTTTTATTTTAGTGTTATAAGATTAATACAGGAGCTTTAGAATAAATTAATGTTAAGATAAAATAGTTTAGGACTGTAGTCCCAAACGAAAACAAAACCCACGTGACGTAGCCAACCTGGAAACGTTCTTCGATTTACACGTCATTGTTGTTCCCACGTAGTACCCACTTAGTTACAATCACCCAGTTGTAATCACCTACTTGTATTCGCCTAGTTGTCATCACCCAGTTGTAATCACCTAGTTGTAATCACCTAGTTGTACTCACCTAGTTGTAATCACCCAGTTGTAATCACCCAGTTGGGCGCCTGACAGCTGGGTGGACAGTTAGTTAGTTTAGTTCATTTATTATGCACCCCATACCCATTTTGTGGGCGGTAGTGGAAAGGGTTACAGAGGCACATAATGGGCTCAGGGACTGAACCCCACAATTCATTTAGCTAAGCAAGTTACAATCTTGATGAGCTAGTTACAAAATTCAATATAAGTCGTCACATCAACAATGGGTTCGAGATCGACCTCAAGTACAGGTTCTAAATTAAGCATCTTACATATGTGGAGAGCTAGTGTCAAAATTTGTTTGTCCTGCACACCGCCCCCCATCCAGTGGGCAGCGGTGGATGGCCAGCGCTTCGGATTCGTAGTCCTGAGGTTCCGGGTTCAATCCCCGGTGGAGGCGGAGACAAATAGGCAAAAAGTTTCTTTCCCTTTCCTAGCAGTAAAGAGGTACCAGGGAGTTAGCTGCTGCGGGTTGCTTCCTAGGGGGTGTGTAACAAAAAAGGAGGCCTGGTCGAGGACCGGGCCGCGGGGACGCTAAGCCTCGATATCATCTCAAGATAACCTCAAGATAAGATAACCCAGTTGTAGTCTCACAATGAATTAGTTGTAATCACCTAGTTGTACTTTTATTTATTCTTTATTTTACACAGGAGAGTAAAAGAAGACGACTTCTGGCACTTTTTAGCAGACTTACAAGAGTTCATCTTGAGCCTTTACTCATTTTCCTTGGAACACGACCCGCCATCAGTTTACAACCATGCCGGAGAACGCATAGACTACAAAGACCACGCCTAAATGGTGACCAGGGCGTAGTAGCACAGTCGGCTCACTACTCATTGGTCCTCAGTTCGATTCCCGTGTAGGGCAAAACATTCGGGCACAATTCCTTACACTAGATACATCGCCAGGCAGTTAGTCTACAACTGTGGGTTGCATCTTTGGGAGAGAGGGAGGGAATTATCAGGGGAAAGCGCCAAGTCATTACGACTATATAGCACTGGGAAGGGATCAGGACTTAGGATGGGACGAGGGAAAGGAATTGTTCCCAACCACTTAGACGGTCAGGGATTGAACCCTGACCTGCATGAAGCGAGACCGTTGTTCTACCGTCCAGCCCAAGTGGTTGGGGTAATGACCAGTGATTGGCTTGGGTGACCACGGTAATCATACAACAGGGTTCTTGTCCTGACAACGGGAAACCCTGCATACCATTCTAAAAAATATCAAAATAATCTAAATTAATAGATGCATATAATTAACACCTGCATATAGCTGGGCACGTAAAAAAAGTTGCACAAGAAACATTAATACATGTTGCAAGAGTTAAGTGTGAATGTCACAGTTGCCAATCAGCCCTTTGCGTCAAACCCTGGCGGGCGCCTTTTGAAAGCCTCACGTACAGACATTAATCCTGACCTCTGATATTACCACGATGAATCAGCAGCCAAAAATAATTTATAATTTGTTCATCTTCTGGAGATACGCACTTTACAACTGCTTCACCTGGTGGGGTATACATCGCGTTGTGAGAAAAACATAAGGGGCATGTGAATATTTTCTTTTCTTATTAGGAAATTAAAATGCATGAATACACATAACTAAATTTATATATATATTTTAGCTACTAACATCTTTAGAGGATGATTATTAGTAAATATAATACTATGTGGTGTTGTTAAGGCCACAAAAATATCTTATCTACTAACTAGTCTACAAAAGGAAACTTGGTGTAAATACACCTAGGAGCGGAATACACCTCTTGGGTGTACCCGAGGTGTATGCTGTTTACTCCAGTTCAAAAGTAAACAATGCCAGCAAAATTATTCTCATGCCCAACCATTAAATGATTGTTAAAAAAACTCAAATTTTTAAAGACGAATCTGTTAAACAAGTAATGTTTAATACAAAAGGCTTATTATCCCAAATCTTAATCAAATATATAAACTTTCTTACTGTCAGTAAATAGTTCCCATGGCCTGCTAATGTTAAATAACCCCATGGTGACCAGGTCATTATGAACAAGAACACTGAGAACCATTTCTTGAACCTATTATAATGACCTGCTGACGTGAATCTTACCAATGTGGTAAGATTCACGTATCACATACCAGCACATATCTAAATTCTGACTATGTAAATAGTTTACTGCCACCGTTGATGGCTTTAGTCCAGTCCCTGAACCATCTGTGTGTGTATGTAACTATGTTGAATGACAGCAACACGCCATATAACAAATACAACACCAAATAATTGATATAACAAAATACAACACCAAATAATTGATGTAACAAAATACAACACCAAATAATTGATATAACAAAATAGAACACGAAACATTGCAAATAAATGAGATAAGTTTAGGTTCAGGAAAGACCTGGGTAAATACTGGTTTGAAAACAGAGTTGTTGATTTAAAGAAGAATAAGTTACCGGGTAACATAATAAACGTTGAATTAAAAGTGAATGAATGAATTAATTAATTAATAACATGGAAAATGAATTAAAAAAGAATGAATGGTTTGTTTCAAGCGTAGGTTAGACGGTTAGACATTAAACACACACACACATTATATATATATATATATATATATATATATATATATATATATATATATATATATATATATATATATATATATATAGAGAGAGAGAGAGAGAGCTGGGAAGATATAAATAGCTGCTAGCTCGTAAGGGCCAATCCAAACCTTCTGTACTTTTATTTATTCCTATGATCCTGATTTACCTTACGTGATTTATCTGAGGGCCACTGACACTAGTGTGCCCTCGACGTGGACAGGAAGCCGGCGGCTTGTTGAAGGTCCTCCCCCCCCCCCCCATTTGCTTTGATGATCATCTCCAGGTGGATTTTAAAACTTATCAGAGTTTAGGCATTTGCGGCTTCATCAGGTAGCCGGTTCCATGGGGGAAAAAAAACATCTATTCTCAGTCCTACATTGAAGTATGTTGTTCCTCGTTTGTGTTCCATCTGACCTTTGGAAGAAATTCTCAGGATCAACATCCTCCAACTTGTTCAGTATTTTAAAAGTTTCAACGAGACCCTCCCTGTCATGCCTGGTTAGCAGTGCTGTTAGCCTTGCGGATCTCAACCGTTCCAGATACGAGAGATGACTTTGCTCTGGAATGACTTTTGTTGCTCGGTGTTGAACTTTCTCCAGAGCAGCTATGTCCTTCTGCAAGTGGACATGCCTGGATACAGTAGAGCAAATGGAAGTGAAACAGAGATTTATACTTAACTTGACGTTCTCATTGTATAGGGCTAAGTCACATGGAAATACTAGAAGGAATATCAAAACAATGAGACGCAGCAGGAAGACATCAGCTTTCTTGAGAAAATTCACGATGTATGATACAAAAATCACATTAATACAAAAATGAGTGTATGGTAGAAAAATTACGATGAACGAGACCAAAATCAGTCGTCTTAAAGTAATAAAACAAAGACAACATAAACAAAACAACGAGGAAAGACAATTACCAATACGAGTAAAAAAACATTCCTAGCGGGAAATAAATATATTTAAACATTCCTAGGAGAGCAGAATGCCGGGGCCGATGTCCGTGTTCCAAGAACTGTTAATTTGCTGATCTCAAATTTCAACGCGTCTGTCAGTTTTATGTTATCTTTACAACACCGACCCTTAACTAATAATTTGTTTTATTTACCTCATCCGTTGAGATTATTTTCACACGCGGACCAAAACAAGCTATATAACGCTTTAATGATCTCCAGGAGCAAGCCTCATGAAGGTGGCGTTACTTACTGCCTCCCACCACCACACCAGTCTTGTGGTCTGGTGTTGCTGGGACACCGGGCCCGGGAAGGAAATGAGTGCTGTGCTATAGTTGATCTTATACGCCATGCAAGCCAGTGTTCTCTTACGGGCTCACCATAGCCCGTGCTACATGGACACTTCGTTCTGAGTAGCTAAATCAGAAACAACAACAACAACCAGTGTTCTGGGTTATATTTCAGTAATCCTCCACCACATTCGAACACTTTATGTAGCATACATAAATTTTTTGTATCTATGTATTTACGTATGTAACTTAGCTTAGCATTTTAAAAGCACTACAATCATCTTCTGTGGTTGATTGTTCAATAAATCCCTGAACTATATGTTTGACAAATTTCTCACCCTGTCCATGGAGGACAGAAGAAAATGTATGTATGCTGGTTAGCATTGTAAATGTCTGGCCACGTCTGTGGTAGAATAATAATAATAATAATAATAATAATAATAATAATAATAATAAAAACACATTCCCCACCACCCAAAACCCTCCATTCTTCTCACTGTCTCATTCCGTTTATTTCTATAGTGGAGGGTAGAAATAGCCTAATTTACTCTATCCCTTTGAGATATAAATTATACTCTAAATAAACATACTTGAAAATCCATATATTTCTTTTTTTGTCACTCTTAGTCCATCTCTCCCTGTCACTCGGTACATCTTTCCCCCTTTTTCTCTCCTGTCGCTTCTACGGGCTCACCATAGCCCGTGCTACTAGAACTTATTGTTCTGAGTAGCGAATCTTAAACAACAACAACCTCTCCTATCACAGTTTCTTCATCCTCTGCCACTCCTCCCCCCCCCCCTGCCACTCCTTCCCTTGCCCCTCCCCCTTTTAAGAGCCACTCAAGATACAATAAATTGTTTAAATTACTGAAACATTTTGTGACAACTAAGATTTTTTTAAGTGAATTCATTTGCACATGGGCAAGCGTTTTTAAAAATGAATACAGTGTATAGATGGATCGGGAGTTAGGGAGAGAGAGAGAGAGAGAGAGAGCTAGGGAGATGGAGGGAGAACAAAAAGCTTTCGATATAGAGATAAACCTAGAGATAAAGATCTTATGAGAGAAAGATAGAAAATAAACACCACTACACATTTCATCATGTTACACCGTTTTACAATTGTCAGAGACAGGAAACCTATTGGGTTTATCATATTTCCCCCTAGCCAAGGGCGATGCCCTTGGTCAACGCGGTCACCCAAGCAGTTACTGACCAGACGGTGATTTCCCTGCCTGGTCGAGTGAGGCGCACATCAAACGAGGCGCCACGTGTTGTGAAGAGGCAAGCAATACAACAGGTCACCCTGGTGTTTACAGTTCTTGGAAAGACAGCGGAAGGAGTAGGAAGAGATGATCGTTTATCGGCCAGGGAGTGGCCGAGGAGGAGGAGGAGGAGGAGGAGGAGGTCGATAACCAGAAGACATAGGAGAATAAGGAGGAAGAAGAGAAGGAAGAGGAGGGGGACAGAGAGATATTAAGGTGAATAAAGTAGAGGGAGAGATGAGGCTCCGACAGTAGCCAACGTTCACGTGAGTCAGAGGAGTTCCCCGAAACACCTCCCGCGGCTCGTGACGTCTCAGGAATGACTCACGCTGGGAGAGGCGACCACCATGGGTGTAGCGATTGGGCTTGAGGCCTCTCACCCGCAAATGTACTTTAGTCCTGAATGGGTATGGGGTGCATAATAAAGAAAGAAATTGAAATTGAATCCTGAACGTGATTTACAATTTAAATATACCTCTCTGTGTGTATATATCGTTTTTCCCCATCTTACGCGCCTTACAGCTGGGTGGCCAGCGCTTCAGATTCCTAGTCCTGAGGTCCCGGGTTCAATTCCCGGTGGAGGCGGAGACAAATGGGCAAAATGTTTCTTTCACCCTTATGCCCCTGTTATCTAGCAGTAAATAGGTACCTGGGAGTTAGACAGCTGCTACGGGCTGCTTCCTTGGGGGGGGGGGGGTTAACAAAAAGGAGGCCTGGTGAGCCAGACTGCGTGTGTGGATTAGGATTCCTTTATGATATCCCATCTCTCTACACCCCAATTTCTCATCCAAAAATAATTGTACCTATTATTGCTATGGATGAAAATACTAGATATGGACTTTTATACCCCCCAAAAAAACGATTTGTAATTGAAGAAAGTTTATCGAGATAATATAATACATACCAAACAGGACAGAGCATCTTAGGCTATTTCTACCCTCCAAATTTTGCAATATTAGTTTAGCACAGTCAGAGAAAGGTGGCAACAACCAGACCTAAGGTGGGATATATTAGACCTTGGCTGGCTTATGAGTCCTTGGACAGATCAGGTTAGATTTCCAGCTCCTGATCCACTTTTTGGCGTTTCCGCTGTAGTATTTTAATAATTCAAAACTTACTTTTTTTCGGAAGGCGGGGGGGGGGGGGGGGGGGGCGGGGAGGAAGATTGAACCCGCCTCCCTGTATGATGGATTGATCTCTCAATGAGGCAACTTCATGCATTAATGTGTAAGTTGGCAGATTGGTAGAGATGGTTGATTGATTGATTGATGAAGATTAAGCCACCCAAAAGGTGGCACGGGCATGAATAGCCCGTAAGTGGTGGCCCTTTTGAGCCATTACCAGTATCATTAGCTGATACTGGAGATCTGTGGAGGTGCGACTGCACCCTGCGTGACGGGAGATGTCTCCCCGAGGTGGTTAATAGATTCAGCTACTCG